TTGGATGGTTTATTGGTAGCTTGCGTCAACACGTGTGATTGTGACCATATGAAGTCTGAAGTTTGATCGATCCATCAGATTTTTGCGAGAATGTTGAGTGAACGCAGGCTTCTTGAATATATAATACTGATTTTTAGTAATATGAGTTGAGTATATTAGTTATGAGTTTTAACTCAAGTTACATATATTGATGGCATCATAAATTTAGTTAATTTTGTTTCGTTACTTATATAAGCTTTTGAATAACAATAGAATATGCAATGTAAATGATAAATTCAACATGGCTTTATTCCTTTCCTTAGTTAATAAAGAGTTTGTTTTCTTTCTCAAAGCAAAAAGTTTAATACTTTCTCAATGGGAATATTTACATGTTAGNAAAAAGAGAGAATATATACAACTAAACCTTATAAATATATTGACTTATAACAACCCACCAAGTACGTAAATTAATAATTTTTATGCTGAGAATGTTTTCTTTTGAGATTTACAGCTAAACTCTTTTCCTTACCGTTATAGAATTCAATTGTATATTATATCCGCAAACTTTATTTTCGAGAGGGCACATGGAATTTTTCTTGTAGAGGAAATTAACTGTTTGGTTTCAAATCAGTGTGAATGTGAACGCAAGTTATGATTTAATCAGTGCATCTACTTGTATAGACAATTAGGGAGGAGCAACAGTAGAGAAGTTTGGTTGTTTGGTGAACCGACCAATATATTTCTCTATTTAGTATTTTACTAAACGCAATTTATTTTCGTCACGTATTTGGATTCCAATTTCATCAATTATATCTTACCCAGAAAGTAACATAAAGAAATAAGAATATAAAATGCACTCAAAATGGAAAGAACAGAAGATGATATAACGCGTTATGCATTTCACGGGAAGTGGAGGATCAAAAGATTGCATTAAGAAAAGCCAAGTCAATACTCTTATTTCTCATTTGACCAATGGATCACGTCAAATCTGATAACATTACCTCTACCATATATATTCATGAAAAAAAATCTTTTAACGATCCGGATAATAAAACCATGATATGTAAAATAAATTATCTATTTTGGTAACCAAATATCTTATAAGGGACCATTAATTAATCCTGTAATACAAATATACAATAACCCCAGACTCTTTTTGGTTAAAAGCTACAAATACTTGCCAGCCTCTTTCAGCTAAAATGCTCTAAAGGATTGTTCGAATTTTTCTTTACCTTTGTCAGACAAAATTCTCAGATCAAGATAGCAATGGAGACTAATCATTTCAAGAGCTCACAATCCAAGTTCTCACCAATGTGGATGCAAGATCCGCAATAATGTTTTAGGAGATGATCTTGGTTGTACTAGCCAAACAATTTATATCTTACAAGAATCGTTGCATCTTTGTATTAATGAAGAATAAAAATGAATACAAAGATGAAATTTCAAATGAGTTGTTTAACAATATAAAGTCTTAAGTGTTTCAAAGCCTTGGACATCAAATGTATCTTTCTTTGTCTCCCTCTTCACCTTAATACGCTAGCTTAAAGCTCAAGTTATTCATTTTCTGGTTCACATGCCTTCCATAATCTTCAGAAAACATAGGTCGTGCTTTGACTCCAATATCTTCATTTTACTTGATCTGATTCTTCAGTGCTATACCCGACACGAACAAACCAACGCATCAACAAAATAACACAAGAAGTTGAATATATTTTGTGGATCGGCGAGTGATTTCTCGAGTCTCTTAAGATCGTTGAGCATGCAAAGAATCTATTGACTAACGTTAACAAAAAGTAAGATAGTATATTTGATCACTACGGTCTACGTATCGTCCGTAGTCAGTTTTGGGCCTATGAGATAAACAAATCTTCAAAAACAAAACCCTAATCCACTAAAACAGTTTTGATCTGTAGTTTATTTCTTATCTTATCCACAAAGAAAATATTTTTATAACAAACTAAACCGATGTCTGAGAAAAACAGGAAATTGAGAAGTTACTTGGACTCTAAGCAACTCAAATATCCACCATATATATGTCACTCTTAGTTTTCTATTTCCATATTTCGATATTCAAAAGTTGGCTGAAACCCTAGCCACCTGAGTGAAACCCCTGTTACGTTCTTTTCAGATTCAACCACAAGTCATTATCTGAAGATCAACAATGAATAATAAAGAAAATATGAGATCAATGAGGATTGTGAAGGAGAGATCTGATCTATGCTATTTGGTTTCTGCTGCAATCAAGACCACTTACAATACACAAAGTCCAGGCGGAGTCGAGCGATGCATCGATGCGTTAAATCAGTTGAAGTACCTGTCTCTTTCGGTCAAGGATATTCGATTGTCTAAGTCCATATTTAAGCTGGAGATTCTGAGAACGCATAGAAACCCTAAGATCCGTAAGGAAGCTCAAGACTTGTTTCATTCATGGATGAAAACACTCTACGCACGAGGAGACAAGTCTCTCAAAGCTGCTCTGAACAAGATCTCTCTGAAGCCGAAGAAGCATGTTCTAACAAGATACTCAGAGTTGAAGAAGAAAGAAGAACAGAGATCACTTCAGATTTGTGAACGAGAAGAGATGAAGAAAGAGACAAGGACCGGATTTGTTGAGTCGAGGAAGAAAGAAGAACAGAGATCTTTGTCTCGTGAAGGTGAAGAGATTAAAAAGAAAACATACTTTTTGGAGTTGAAGAAGAAAGAATATGTGAAGACTTGTGAAGAGAAGGATCTTAAGAAAGATACAAAGACTGATCTAAAGCCGCTTAGTTTAAAGAGAAGAGGTGATACTTGCGAGGCTGTTACGACGAAGAAGCCACGTCAAGGAGAAGTTAAGGTTTCTGGAAAACAAGCCACGACTCTAACTCAGCACTCGAGACAGAACATCAAAGACAAAGACGGTCAAGTTACAACCAAAACCTTGATTCCTCCTCCTAGGAGATCTGTCTATAGGTCAAAACAACAGCAGACTGGACCAGCAAAAGATTCTGCAAACCCTAAATCTGCAATTGCCAAGACTAAAACAGAGGAGGAGCTGAAGAAGAAGAAAACAGAGTTGGTGGAGGTGTTTGAAGAAGCAAAGAAAGCTGCTAATGTGGCTAACACTAAGGGTATTCTCTTGGGGAGAGCAGAAGCGTCTCGTTGCGTTGATGCTCTCTCATTGCTCATGAGAATCAATCTCACTCCAAAACCTAAGGAACCAAGGAGGATGATGGAGAGGCTTGAAGGACTCACAAAGCACAAAGACCGCAAGATTTGCAATGCTGCATCAGCCCTTCTTCAGCTTTGGAGACAGAGAACCAGAGAACAAGAACGTAGAGATTCAGCCACAAAGATGTTTCATAACAACCCTCTTGAAGCGTATTAATTTGCGGTTAAGGCTTCACCAAAGAATCTACAAAGAAGAAGGAAACTAGTGATGTGAAGATTGGTTGGAACAAAGAAAAAGTGTATGCAAACGGATTCGAAAGGTTTCTGAATCATTGTGTTAAGAGTATGATTGTGAGGAAGAGGTGATATCATTTGTAAGCGTGGTTGAGTATTGAGCAAGTCTTTAAGTAGATTTCCGTGATGAATAAACATGTAAGATACATATGTGAATTTTAATGTTTTGAGTTACTTGTAGCTTCTTCTTTTCCCCGATCTATGCATTGATAAAGAAATTGTTACAGATAATTCTTCTACTTCTTGAAGCCATTAATTCGAATTTGTTCAGTAAATTGTGTTGTAGTCTAAAGAGCATGTGGATAGAGAATTCGTTTTAACAAATATAGTAAACTATTTCTGTTAGAGATAAGCGATTGTAATTGTCAAATATGGATTATCAACCATGCATATGACCTAATGGCAGTAGAAAATTCCTATGTCCCATTCAAAAAGAGATTTAAGAAACAATTCATTTAAATTAACCAGTTAAAATTATATATAATGGTGAAAATCTCTACAAATTCTTAATTTTATAACATAAACTCATTAATACATGTTTTACAAATTTAAACTCAACTAAAGTAATATTAGACTTACCAATTTTTTTTGTTGGTGGCAATGAAAATCAATTTTACACTTAAAATATATAACATTTGCATATATTTTAATCAATTTATACATAAAAATATTAAAATTAATGACATCAAAATATGTTTGATCAAAATTTAATCTATGCATAATAAATATTATTTTTGTATGTTTATAAATATTAGAAATCATATGC